CACAAAACATCATAACGCAATACATAAACGAAAGACCACAACACGTAGTTTTGAGACTAAAAGACATAGAGTTCACAAAAATAATCAGGATGAAAGAGGATGCATATTCGTTTGACATCAATATTCTTCCCTTTACTTTAGTTTGTTTGTATGTTTGGTAACAAACATAATAATAAAAAAATTTCATTGTGGTAAACGAAATAATTTGATCTAGGTAAGATTTGTCAAAAGCCCTTACGTGATAGAAAAAAAAAAAGTGAATATTATTTTCGAAATCTACGTAGCTGAATTATGGAAAATCCGTTATTAAAACTAAAACAACTTTTATGAAATTTAAATTCGCAGGCCTGTGTTATCAATAAATGACGGCAGAACCAAAATTACTGATTCGTTGTTGATACTTTTTTCAAGCTTGAAAACTATTCACTTTCTGATCATTTTTATTTGTATTATAATTCACATAACACCGCACTAATGAGAACAATAAGAAATAAATGGAGGCAGATTTAATAGCCCAACTTTGAAAACAAATATACAAGACGAAGCAATACTGTATTTTCTAAAAAAAAAAAAATCAATATGATGTTAGTTGTAATTTATCGTGGTTTTAATTATACTGCAGTAATGCCAATACAATATATTTTTCTTTTTAGTTTATTATTACCAATAAATTAACATATTCAATCCCAATTCCAAATAGCAGGGCTGCGAGAATTAAGGTAACCAAGATTTTAAGGTCACACCGTCTTGGCACAGCTCCTCCAGTTTCAACTGAAAGAAAAACAAACAAAACAACTGTTACAGAAATAAGAAATGAGTTAAAATATCATTTTCTATTCCTACATAAATTGAAGAGTTAGAAATACTATATACACGCATAGTTTGTTCCACGGTGGCTTAGCAGTAACTCTGAAGGCTTCTAACATTCGGGTTTCTATACCAACGATGAGCAGAACACAGAAATCCCATTATGTAGCTTTGTGCTTAAGAACAAACAAATAAAATGTACCTAGTTTAAAACCTTGCATTCTTTGGTCAAGTTCAGTCTCTTTCATTACAATATTCTTATGTTATTATACACATCTAGAAAGTCCAAAAAAAACATAAATGCTTTATTCGCATTTGTACTCTTTAGGATTGTAACAGCATCATTTGCACTTTAAAAATTTTTCTGAATGTCCTGAGGTGGATTCAATAGTCGCTTACGCAAATGAGATTTACTAAATACGTGAAAGAGTAACAAAAATCAAGATTTAGAAAATCCCTTAATGGAAAAAATGTAAATACCCAAAAATCTACCAAAATAAATTTGCATAATCTATGCCAGAAGACGGGAACACTTCATTTCAACGAACTAGCATTATACTAGGTACGTCTTGTCAGCCTTATCATTTTATGCACATAATTTTGTTTTTTTAAATACTGCTTGGGAATCGTCTCTTTTTAGTTATTCTGGGTTGCTCGTTGGTGTTTATAAAGTTTAAATAAATGTATCACGAAGTAAGATATTCTGCAGATAACATATTTAGTACTTTGCTCTCTGCTTAATATTTGCATTTCACTTTCAGTTTGTTAGCCAATGCTTTAAGTTTGTTTGTTTTTCATAAAAAGAGAAAATTTTCGAAGAAACTATTTTTATTTTCATTCTTCAAAAATGTTTGGCTGTCTTACGGTAGTAAAAACAGAATGCAACGCTTTGGGATAATATCAGTAACAATTTCGAGAACTAGACGCATTTTACCTATGATTCCAGAATAATAACGACATTTGATCAAAAATAATGTCCCCTCAAGGAATGCAGCTGTATCGGATAAGATCGGGTTTTTTTTTGTTTGTTTGTTGTTGGTTTCTAGAATTTCATACTAAGCTACACAATGGCCATTTGCGCATAGCCATCCCTAATTTTGAACTGATGGACTGGAGGCAATTAGTCAAGAACAGCGACGGGCAAAGTCTTGAAATACTAGTGAAAAAAACACAGTAAACGGAACAAACTGTCAGAAGTCTGATATCAGAGACACTAGTTTCGACACATTCAAACCACAGTAAACGGAACAAACTGTCAGAAGTCTGATATCAGAGACACTAGTTTCGACACATTCAAACCACAGTAAACGGAACAAACTGTCAGAAGTCTGATATCAGAGACACTAGTTTCGACACATTCAAACCACAGTAAACGGAACAAACTGTCAGAAGTCTGATATCAGAGACACTAGTTTCGACACATTCAAACCACAGTAAACGGAACAAACTGTCAGAAGTCTGATATCAGAGAATTCGGAAAACAACACAAATTTATACAAAAAGGAATAAATACATAAAAAGCTGTTTAATCAAAAATCTGTCTATTTTCAACACCTCCCAAAGTCACTATAAATTTAACAACTTCCTGACCTCCTGTGTTCTTAAGGGCATTCCAAGATAAGAGGTCACTTAGGCGTTTGTTGACCAGTTTTTTCCTGCCAGAAGACAACGTGAGATTAAAGAGGACTCACGGATGTGTCGAAACTAATGCAGTTTGATGGCCAGAATCTCTCATATGAAGAAAAATGGCATTATTTTGGTTTCTATATTTTATGTTCAGAAACTCTCGTGTCAACATTTCTTCCAGTTTCACCTACATAACCTTTCTCACAAGATTAGCATGGTATAATATAAGCGCCTTATTTTTTATCTTCATGTGTGTTTCTATTTGAAGTTAGATTGTTTTTAATGGTGTTTGGATATTGGTATATGATTCTAAAGTTATTCTTCCTTGATATCCATGCTTAGTCAAAAGCCTGCCTCATGTTTATGAGGAAATTTTTTTTGTTCCTCGAGAGGTCCTTTCTGAACTCATTTAAGTTGATTAACAATAAAGTAGAAACTACCCCTCTATGACTGATGTACGAATTCAGTTTAAAGTCATACCTAGCGACTCAAGACATCATCTTTTGCTGGTCTTCCATCTTTTGATTTGCTTAATCTCAATTCAAAAGCGTAGATACTTTTGCAGAGACGCTAATAAGCTAGCCCCCCAGTGGTACAGCGGTATGTCTGCTGACTTACAACGCTAGAAACCGGGTTTCGATACTCGTGGTGAACAGAGCACGGATAGCCCCTTGTGTAGCTTTGTGCTTAATTACAAACAAACAAGCCATTCTAAAAAACATATGAGCGATGCAAAACATTTAGCATGTTCAGTTGCTGTTTTTGCCCCCAGAGGCACAGTGGTATGTCTGCGAACTTACAACGCTAGAAATTGGGTTTTGATACCTATGGTGGGCAGAGCACAGATAGCCCATTGTGAATCTTTGTGCTTAACTTTAAACAAACAAACTAATAAGCGAAGTAGAAAGAAAAATTGATGAACACACAATGGAGTTCACGAGGCATTCATTCATGTTAGGAACACGAGCTCAAAGTTTCTGAGGCTTGATTCCCCCACCTAAGACACACCAAGACTCACAAACACTTAATCTAGATTGTTTGTATTTTTAATATTGTCGTTTATTTCTTGAATCTTAAGGTTAATATATTTTATTTTAGTGAGATTTTGTGAGTTAGTCATAAATATTTGAATTTTCATGTATTACTTAATAAGTGCATTATGATTAATCGAACCAAACACGTGTTTCTACAACTACGTTAAGAGCATTCAGCTCATCGTATTCTTTATTTATTCATTTTCGTTTGATTTGTGAATAGATCATTCTGAATTGAGCATACAATACAACTATTTCACAATGTATTTTCTTCAGGTACTAGTTTGTCAATTTGTGTCCTTATTCTTGTTTTGAAATATCATCCTAGGGCTATTAAATACATGATAAAAACAGGGTCTGAATTTGCGAGCCCACCCCCGTCTCAATTTGCTATTTCTGCTTAGAGTTTCTTGCTTTCAGTGTCACCATCTTCTTCAGGGCTATCATTTTCTTTGGAGTTATCATTCGTAGCATCATCATTGATATCTCCTTTTTTGGATTATTTGTCACTTGAGTCATCAATCTCACAAAACGTATCTCTTTTAGTGGAACTAGTATCACTCTAAACGTTATTTTAAGATATTTTTTTCTTCATTTTCTCCCATTCCTGTCATCATTTCTTCGTCCGTTTTACCACTAAATTTTCAAGTTAAGTACTCCATACATATCTGGATTAATCACTAGACAACATTCGTTTGCTAAGACTCGTATCAACAGATTAAACATGAATAATGCAGGTTACTAACAAATTATGTCAGTTATGAACCGTTTATGATTATTTCAGTTACTTGTAAACTATATTTAAAGAATTATTAAGTAAGACCAGCTCGTAAGTAGTATTACGTATGTTCATCATTTTGCCAAAGTGGTGATTTACTTTTATAACACTGTTTAAATATTAGATTATAAAGCACTTATGAGTTGCACATGATCATTTTCATCACAGTTATAGACAAACATTTATCTGTGACATTCACCCCATAGTTTTATACCAGTCAATTAAAGCTAACCCGTATAAGTTCCGTAGTTTTAAAGTACACAATTTTGACTAACAGGGAAGCTCTCCATCTGCAAAGTTAATTTTTCATTGTAATAGATGTAATATCAATTTTCTATTCAGTTACGTGACCTTAAGTCTCATTTGTTATATAATTATATCTCAAAAGTTAGACTTGTCTTTCTCGTTTATATAGTTGTAATAATCCTCACTTACACTTCCTACAATTAATGTGTTAGTGTTTAGTACTAGTTTACTCCACATGTGCAATATGATTTATTATTACTTAGGTTTGCCAAGCTTCGCTCGTCAGAGCTAAGTATAGAAATTGGAGTACAGGCATTCTTAGCATATGCGCTATACATATTAACCTTACCGGTGCGATAACTATCCACTATCAAGGAAAACTTTCTGTCTGTCTGTCTGTAGACGCATCTCATTTTAAACGAGTTGATCGATCCAGACCAAACTTGGCATGCTAACGTAGTAGTCCAAAAGCAAAACAAATTCATATTATGCTTTCCCATATATATGGAAAATGAATAATATTTTATAGAATAACCCCAATATCGTTATTGCAGTAGCTATAGTAAATAGTTAAGTTTGAACAAAGCTCACACCACAAAAAAAAATCTGCAAATCAAATATTGTAGATACAATTTTCAGCAATTTGGCTTGTTTCCCATAATAACCAAAATATACAGTAATAAAATATCCAGTTACAATGTGGAAAATATAGATACTGCTGCTGTTTAGGTTTCCCGCTCTTTTCTGATTCGCACCATTCAACTAGCGGTTTAGACTAGGGTTAGGATAAATTCTCAGGACTGAATTAAAGACATATTTCATAATTAGTTTTCCGTAGAAGCAAAATTCAAGATTATTATTAAATCACATGCATTAAATGTACCAAATACAGACAACAGAAATCTTAACCACATCTTTGCTGTAAAATGGGCTGCTTCAAACAAGAAGTAACGCAGCTGCTTTGCCATTTCTGCCAAGTTTCTCGTGTCGACTGCTAAACCTCCTAACTTCCAATCCACTTTCTCACGTCTTACAATAATTTTCTTGGAAATTAACGCAATGAAAATCCTCACAGAGATTTTGCTCATTTTTGCGTGTTTTCCTCAATTTCAAGAGGAAAAGACGGAGAAGTACAGTCTCTTAAAATAATATGCAAAACGTTTAAGGTAAAACATTTCAAGTGTATTACAAAAGCTTTAAAAAAAAAGCCCATTATGGACTGAGAGCTCACATTTACTTGTAGACTTTCACCAGATCTGTCGGGCTTTCATCAAGGGCACATCTACTTGAGAAAATGTCACGTTTTGATAAATAAACAAATAGATGTAACAGTATTTAATCATAATTTATATTAATTTACATTAGGTAAAGTCGTATTATTATAAAACATTAATATAAGAGTTATCACTAGCTATCGTTATCTTTTCAATCTACTTTCATTAGATTATCGCTGTTGTTGTTGTTGTTGTTTCACGAGTATTGGGAATTACTTCTAATATCATTTCTTTGGTAGAATATAATGCATTTATAAATTCGAAATGTTCAGTACGAGATGTTTTAAGTAATGAGTATATAAGAGCTTACCAAAATAAAAAATACACAAAAAAATGGACGAGAGGCATTTTACATTCTAAATGTCTATGGTTTGTTTGTTTTTTTCACCATTTAACAAAACGTTAAACGATGTCCAGCTTTACTGTTAATTTATGATTTTGGCTAATAGATAGCTGTTACAGGTTTAAACGCATCTTATCGACGTAAGTAGCATTAAGCTCTATGTATATATTTATAGTAAATACAATAACACAGATTTAATTGTTAAACAAACTTGTCGTTGAAGTCATAACCATGAACGGTGATATCTCTTTTGAGACACTAAACAACTGAATATTATATAACATAGATCTAACCAATAAAGCTTAAGTAACACTTAATCAGAATCAATGTTACTTATTAATTAAACCGTTTTCCAATTACGCTAAGCTCCTGCGTGTGTTTAGTCTTACGAGTAGAGATCAGTTCTGAACTTCAAGTATGCAGTTTTGTTAAATACGAATTGGTAGCTAAAGTATTCGGAATTTTGGAAGTTCACTTAACGTCTAACGAAGGTAAAATAAAAATTATGTAAGTAAGAAATTTAGGTAGGGAAACTGACAAGTTTTATCCGTAATCTATTATTGTAGTAGTCAGTGTAAATATTTGTTCGTTATGAATTTCGCACAAAGTTACACGTTCTTAATTTAGCAGTGTAAGACTAGAGGGAAGGTAACTAGTCATCTCTTGGGCTACTCTTTTACCAACGAATAGTGGGACTGACCGCAACATTATAACGCTCCCACGGCTGAAAGGGCGAGCATGTTTGGTGTGACGGGGATTCGAACCCACGACCCGCAGACTGCGAGTCGAATGCCCTAACCACCTGGTCATGCCGGGCTTATCGTAAAGAAGTCTCACGTAAGTATTATCATCTCTTTTGCTTCTGTTTTATATACTTTAACCTGACAATGTTTCAAACAATCTATTATCATTTAAAATTGTAGATATCTTAACTTTTAGCTACTAGAGACGGGACTGCTTAACAATAAAAAATGTGTTATTATAAAGGTTTAGAAATACGATATGCTATTATGTAAGTGAATATGAAATTAAAATTAATAGTTATTAGATCCACCTGTTAGCAAAAACCTAAAATTAACAATAAAGCATTGCATCGTTTAACTTTTAAAATTTATAAAAAAACGCATTATCGTGTAAAATGTCACGCTCATTTTTATATTTATATTATGGTAAATCTATGTGCCTAATACTTAGAACAACTTGTAGTGATAATTAAAAACCAACGAATGAATTCTATTCTATAATACAAATATTAAAAGTCATTTCCTAATACTAATGTACAAAAACCAGATGTAACCAGTACCACCTGAATAACATACAAACGACAATCATTAGATATAAAGTAAAACTAACTTTTAACTATTTTAATATAAGTGTATTATAATAATCAAAGAACAAAAAAGGACAAGCTGGTATCTGAGAAATACACGCTAAGCGAAGCCAATCTGTAAGTATGGGAATAATTCTATCAAGTATTATAACATTCGAAAAATACGATATAAAAATGTAACACTGTATACGTAACTCAGGCATCACCTTCCTCATAAATCCATCATACAAATCAAAGAAGTATTTAATGATTGAATATGAGTATGATGAACTGGAAGCTTCCAGCTCATCATATCTTCGTTTAATTTGTTTCTGTGACTTGTAATTTGAATTTTTGAGTAGAATAAGGTATATGTTACATATAGAATGCTATATTTTTTATATAGTCTCCGAAACATATGCTGAATTAATTGCTTGGTTGAATTCGAACAATGATAAATCAACCATTAAGTAACAAATAAATAAGAATAAAAACACATACGAGTGACGGATTAAAAGTATGAAATCAAGTGTGTGTGTGTGTATATATATAACATGCCTTTAAAGCGCAACAATGGACCTATTAGTCCACCTAGGCCATTCCGTCCACTAATCTAAACTTTAAAATAAAGATAAAACACTCAAGGCCATCTCTTTTCATACAAATATTTACCAAGCCTTCCACTAAACTCCATTAAATTAACCGGATTCACAACATCCGAAGACAGTCTATTCCAAACGTCTACTACCCTGTCAGTAAAATAAAGCTGTCTTAACTGAAGATGGCTCCTACCTTGCAAAAATTCATATGATGCACCAATACTATCAATTCTATAAACAGACTTAAACACCGCAATCAAATCCACTCTAACTTTTTTTGCAAGCTAAAACAAGTTCAGAAGTTCTCCGTATGACAACCTTTCTATTCCAGGTACCACTCTAGTAACCCTCCTCTGAATCCTTTCCAACAATGTAATGTCCTTTCTGAGGTAAGAACCACAAGACCAACACAGTACTCCAAATGTAGTTTAACCATTAATACTCACTCACAGTAGATAAATAGTAAATTGATTGTAAAATACTGTAACAATAAACCACAAACATAGCCCTCCTCTGAATCCTTTCCAACAATGTAATGTCCTTTCTAAGGTAAGAACCACAAGACCAACACAGTACTCCAAATGTAGTTTAACCATTAATACTCACAGTAGATAAATAACAAATTAATTGTAAAATACTGTAACAATAAATCACAAACAAAAATTTGTAGATCGAGTGTATATGCGAGTTTAAATGACCCTGGCTTGAGCGAAAGCCTGGACCAACTCCCGATCCCCCCCCCCCCGGTATGGTTTGTTTCAATTAAATGATTACTATCTAATCGCTTTTAGACTTATATTAAAGAAAATAAAAGTTTAATTATAGTAACAAAGGACGATGCCTATAGATGTCGGTAGAGATTAAGCTGTTGGAGGTTTTGCCTATAGATGTCGGTAGAGATTAAGCTGTTAGAGGTTTTGCCTATAGATGTCGGTAGAGATTAAGCTGTTGGAGGTTTTGCCTATATATGTCGGTAGAGATTAAGCTGTTGGAGGTTTTGCCTATATATGTCGGTAGAGATTAAGCTGTTGGAGGTTTTGCCTATAGATGTCGGTAGAGATTAAGCTGCTGGAGGTTTTGCCTATATATGTCGGTAGAGATTAAGCTAGAGGAGGTTTTGCCTATAGATGTCGGTAGAGATTAAGCTGTTGGAGGTTTTGCCTATAAATGTCGGTAGAGATTAAGCTGCTGGAGGTTTTGCCTATAAATGTCGGTAGAGATTAAGCTGCTGGAGGTTTTGCCTATATATGTCGGTAGAGATTAAGCTGCTGGAGGTTTATGCCGCAGGCATTACCAAGGAAAAGTAATTATAGAGCGAAGCTGTTACAAAAATGTAGAGCCGAAAGACATAGCATTTCGAAAAATAAACTTTTCAATTTTAATTGAACTGGAATAACTTGCACACCAAAGCATTTAGAATGTAAAAATTTTTGCAACCACGCCGTGAATCCACATGGAGCAACACACTAGCCACAAAATGAAGGCTAAGTTTAAGAAAGAGAACCCTCCGACTCAAAAGGTGATTGCAATGAAAAAGAGCGTATCTCTACCATTAATAAGATAATTAACAAGAATTTGAAGTTGACGGAGACCACAGGCCAGAATTTCACGGTCTTCCAGCCACACTTTGAAATCAACTAATGATTTTTTTATTAGAAAGATGGACATGAAAACTTAAATTACTGCAGTCCCATTTAACCAAGTATTGGTGAATGATGGTCTTGCTCTATGTACTTTTACCTCTTCCGTGTCCTGGTTGTCCGGCAAGCAATCGAGCGATATACACCAGTACCAGAGTCTGCTGCAGAAATAGGGATAGTAGGCACCAACTTTAGCCTGAAAGCCTATTTTTGCAAGCCCGCCACAGCGGTATTATTACGTTGAGAAAAGGCTGGTGAACATTCAGGAATCCAATCCGGTAATCTGACGGATCTCTCTGGTCACGTCGTTGTGATACTGTATCCGTTCTTCTAGAGATCACATACTCAATTACACATTCTGCTGTGACGCTGATGCTAATGCTTGTTGATGATAATGATTAAAAACGAAAACAAAATCATATTGCAGCTAACAGTGACTAAACTTTTACGACAAAGCTTACCAAAATAAAATAAAAAACGTGTGAAATAAACATAAAACTTATTAACATTAAAGAAACATCTTCAGAGAAATAGAATCCCCTCTATTGAATGTTTCAGCCCGGATGATGATTACGATCATGAAAAGTGGTCATTCCCGACTGGTTGTGCCACCGATCGGTTGCTGGTAATCATATGCTGATGATTTTGATCAATTGTCAAGATATCCTTTAGGAACAGTGCCGAATTTACAGAGAAGGATACATTTGAATAACCGCTTAAATACAAGCAATCCTCACCCCTTTTTTAAAGTGTTAAACTTCATTAAGAAACTCTTGTAGTTTTTAAATAATAAATTAAAAGTGTTAAATTTCAATTAAACTACCTTATCGCTATTGAAGGAAAAAAACTACCATATTTATATCATTAAAATGTTACCAAAAAAATACGCTAGGAGAAGCAAGTGCGTAAATGAATTATAGAGCCATTACATTTCTGTAATAGCTTCATGAATATTCTTACATTCTTTGTAGCTTTGTGCATAACTACAAACAACAACAACTTACATTATTAAAAGAGTAAACGAGTTTATTTAATACACTCATCAACGAAAATTTTGTTTGTTTGTTTGTTTGTTTTGAATTTCGCGCAAAACTACACGGAGGCTATCTGCGCTAGCCATCCCTAATTTAGCAGTGTAAGACTAGAGGGAAGGCAGCTAGTCATAACTACCCATCGCCAACTGTTGGGCTACTCTTTTACCAACGAATAGTGGGATTGACCTTCACATTATAACGCTCCCACGGCTGAAAGGGCGAGCATGTTTGGTGGGGCGGGGGTTCAACGAGAAGTATATCTTCATTAACGTTTTGTCAAAGAAATAGTTCATTCAGGCTTTTGTCATTTTCATCTCTTATTTTTCTAACTTCATATTTACATAATAGAATTGAGGATCAAATCTCAAACCCATTAAATATAAATCTTTAGTAATACTACTCATTTTATTTTGATTTTTCCTTTAATATTTCAAATTAAGGTTTGGTTTGTTTGGAATTTTGCGCAAAGCTATAAGAAGGCTATCTGCGCTAGCCGTCTCTAATTTAGCAGGCATCTAGTCTAACTACCCACCGCCAACTCTTGGGCTACTCTTTTAACGAATAGTGGGATTGAGCGTCAAATTATATCTCCCCCACGGCTGAAAGGGCGAGCATGTTCAGTGACGGGTATTCGAACCCGCGACCCACATATTGCGAGTCGAGCGCCCTATCCACCATGCCATGCTAGACCATTTCAAATTAAGACATTTGAAGAATGAACCAAATGTACGCTCTTATGAATAGCTACACTTTTCTATAGAATGCTCATAAATGTTTCTTATTGTGATATTCACGTACTAATAAATTATGTCTGGTCTAATGAAAAACATATGAAACTCAGTAACAAAACTTATTTTAACTTGTTAAACAAGCTTTCTGCGATTATAATAATAATTTTCGACAGTGTAATATATTATTTTTTACTAACCTATATAGATTGTAAAGAGGCAGTTAAAGAAATCGATGACATATAAATAATAACAAGTAATAAAAAACATTTTGTAAATATAACATGATGTAGGGACTGCAGTGCCACAAAGAATGCAAACAACAATATAGGGATGATACAGTAAAACATAGATCATACTACGTAACTTTCAGTATAACCATATAATGTTACACTGTAAAATTCACGAACACAAAATGATTACGAGGTCGGTCAATAGTCTGTAATAATCAAGACATGTTTTGACTCAACTTGCTTTTCCTTATACGTAAGTCCTAGGCTCTTAGTTACACTACGTTGATGCCTACCCTGACATAACTATGATATTATGATAAACAAACTGCATACCAACAGTCAGGAATATACAACTTCCAATTGCAGTAATATTAAAGTCAAGCACCATTTTACAGTGTAATGTTAAATTTTAATAATGAAGATCATGTAGGGATGATCTATGTATAGCTGAATCATCCCTATATTCTTATTTGCGTTCTTTTTGGCACTCCCATTCCTACATCATGCTACATTTACAAAATATTTGTTATTACTTGTTTTTCCCGCTGACTGAAAGTTAGTGTATTCTATGAGTATGTGTGTAGTAACATTTAATATTATGTGTATTGATTTTTGTTACTCCTTCACTTCATACATAATATAAGGGTTGGCTCCCTAAAGACACCGATTGTATAGTGTACAAAGCATTGAGTATTCTACACGTTACAGTCATCTAATGTTTATCTGTTATTGGCTTGTAATTCCTGTTTCATCCTCCAGATTTCTGTAAAAAAGCTAACTGCAAGAGGTAATGATAACATCGTTTATACTATTAATAGAATTATGATTTTATTTAATTACTACTAGCTATTACGGCTAAGCGACGATATCGTGCACTGTCCAGAAACACATAGAGTGTGTTTAGGTTTAAACTGATGTTAATGATAAAGCAGTTGTAAAGTTATCTTGACTGAAACAAGAAGAAGAAAGATGAACAATTTGGTGGGTTGGTCACTTTCTGATTTGGTATCTTAGCGATGATTTCTTGCCTTGTTTTTGGGCTCGTTGGGTAGAGAAAGTGAGTGTAAATAATATTTTAAAGTAAAACTCTCTGTCCTACATATAGAGTGTATTGACTATATGATACTGCTACGCCTAACTGTATCTGTAATTAGTTTACGATATACGTTCTTACGCTGAAGAAGCTCAATGATAAATTGACTTATAAGAAACTCGTGTAATTCAAGTGTATTTTCAAATGGTTTGTTACTTTAATACGTACCTCTAACTATCATAACTTTTTGAGTGGAGACGGTTCTAAATGATGGAGCATCAGCAGACACCTCGCATCTATACTTTCCACCAGTTGATATCTGTACGTCTTGTATGTAAACCACGTCTTTACTGGAGTGAGTAAACTGCAATACAGATCGTCTTTTATTACTGAAAACCTAGATCGGTTATTTTAATGAACACTGTAAAGAATATAATGAAACAAGCCATTTCATATGTTAAATCGAACATCTATATGTACAGGTATAAGATTTCGGAAGAAAAATAAAAAGATATATATTTTTCTTTATTGGACCTACAAGTTCATTTGTTCTATGGCGTAGTCCAAACAATGTTGAATATACTTGTAGAGTTACCACTCTTAATCTTGGTATCCTATTTTAAACATGCTTTTATTTGGTGCCAATATATATATATACATACGTATTTATCTAATAACATTTAAGCAAAATAATATCGTACGAGATTTAGAATTCGTGAAGAATCATTTTACATTGTTAAATTTGAGAACGATTCAAATCAATCTATATTACTTAAAATGCTATCTTGTTTTGTCAGAATATACAACACTTACGTCAATGTTAATACCGTCTAACGGAAAAAACTGCCTTTGGGGAATCTCTTTAGGCACGTAACGAAAAAATTCCAGATCATCTTTGTACCACTTGACTGAATACAAGCTGTCTTCTTCCAAGTCGTACATGCAGCAAAGTCGAACGTCTTGACCTGAACGAACACTTCTCGGAATGTCTAAGTATGTGATTCGCAGACCATTTACAACTATAATAATGGAATAAGTATACATATTATATATATATATATATATATATACGCATAACTGTCTAGATTTTCTTCTTATTCTGGACACAGCTGGGTAAATAACGCTACGATTTATCTAATATTGAACATAAGCAAGTAGCAAAATGAAAGCATCTTTGCATAAAAATAAAATATAAAAAATCAATTATTTCTGGCAATTCACTTATGTTGATAAGTAAATATATTTTACAAGTTGGATTATTACATAAATTAAACAGACATAAGGTGTACATTTTCCTTATACAAATTAATTACTTTTTCCATGGCCAGGTGGTTAGGGCGCTCGACTCGCAATCT